ACACCGAAGGGCACGGGAAAGAGCCAATTCTTGCAAACGACCAGCAGCTGCTAAAAGATAACCTCCAAACCATCAGATAACAAGCAAGCATCAAAAACAAATTCCCAAGTACAAACAAAACCAAACAGATATACATCTATAGGGTCTCAGCATACTTCAGGGTTTTACTAAAACATTCCATTTATTTAGGAACTGAGTCAACACACAGCTCAATGATGTTTAGTGAGCATAGGCTTTCGAATTTACCACGCATGTTGATCACGACAGAATCTGTAACACTTGACAAGGAAAAAACTGAAGAATCTATATGATTTAGACAAAGAAAACCTTCTCAGAATGGCTAAAAGTAAAATATATGCATTCATCAGTCACATGTGCACAAAGAGAAACAGTTAAATAAAATGATGCAATATAAATTAAGTATAATACTTTACCATCGTTTTTCAGATAATTCAATGCTGTCAAAGCTATTCGGTATATTTGCAACAAGGATTGGTCTCTGAAGTTGCTTGCGACCCTCCGATGATGTGTAGAAGGAAGCCCTGGATTAGGCTAAGGATTGAGCACAAGTCAATAAGCATTTCAAGGACAATAATAAATTAAAAAAATGCTAACAGACCAATAGCAAAACAAAGCTAAAATGTATACTCTCATTTGACAGTATTTCCTGTGATAAACCAAAACTTACTCCCCGACAATGCAACTGAATATGACTACAATTCTCTGATAAGTCTAACATACCCACCATCTTACATCTTTAAGAAACGATACAACAAAAATAAACTTGTAGTTAAATGCATTAATTAAGAAGGGGTGTAAACTGAAAACCTATTTCAATACCACAAGACACTTTCATTCGGGACAATGGCACTCTAGAACAGAGAGAAAAAAAAAAGTGCAACAATCTAAAGCTACGGCAGACCATGTTAAATTCAAACCTCACACAGAAGGTAAAATTTATTTGAAGCCATCACATCACCTCATGGTGACAGTTCAACCACAGTGTGTCACTGACCTGGTTCATCTCTTGCACAAGTTGATCCAAAATTCTCAAGCCAATTGCATAGTGATCTGAGGAAGCCTGTTCAATAAGCAACATATACAGAAAGCTTTCAGAACTCCTAATCTAAAATATCATCAACAAGTTTTGTTTACAAGATATGAGTATCCTGAAAATTGGTCCAGAAAGCATCCAGAAACCATAGAAGCACAGAGAAGACATAATGTTTCAGCAGAAAGATACACCACCTGGTTCAAAAAGTTTGTCGATTCGTTAACAACATCCCTGAATTTATCATCATCAAACCATCCAAACTTTGTTAGCCGACATAGTAGTTGAACGAGAGAAGCAATCACAAATGACTGCAACTCTGTTCCTCTCGTGGCCAGATAGTTCACTATATAAGCCCCTAAACACGACCAAAAGAGAACCAGAAACAAGTAAGAAGATCATACGGGCAAGAAATAGATACTTATGAGTAGCATTATCAGGAATACTATGTAAAGAGGTATACTGATATCAAGACGAAGCTGTAGAGCAAGGGTATGATCTGTCACTTGCTTCAACAAACTTGAGCTAGCAAGCATTAACGAATAAGGTTTTGATGAATTGTCAAGAATGTATTGACATTGGGATATATAATCTGTATTCATGGAAAAGCATCTTAGACTGTTTTCAGCTTGAGCCCTCTCCACAGAATCCTGCGAATTGTACAATCTCTCGCACAAGGCTTCCAACTGCGCCAAACTCTCCATCGGTAACGAAGTACAATCTGAGGGGAAAAGTAGAAAACCATAGATACAAAAGGCAATACAAATATTATCGAGAAATTTCAAAAGAACCCAGATTTCCTAGACAGTATATCGTGACCCATAGATTGTTCCACAATGACAACGGAGTAACAATAAATTATTACAGCCGCATTTCCCCCAAGAACCCACATACTCTCCAATCAAATGCTCTAGAACTGGATTCAAGACCCAACAGCGCATCCATTCCGATTGGGTTCGAGGAGAAAAATAAAAAACAAGAGGAAATCAACACCAGATACTCCAATTACCAAGCATGATATAGGAATTCAAACATTGATAGTAACTTCATTAACAAGGAAAAGGTGCGGTTATCACTCGACGAAGAACAACGCAGACCAAGCTACCGACAAAGGTCAGTTCGATCTCATACAACATAAAAGAGAGAGAAAGTACACAAGTAGGAAACGGCCGATCGCCGTGAAACGTCGCCTTCTCCGATCAACAATCGCCCTTTTCCGGTAGAATCGATATTCCTCCCGTAGATTAGTTTTAGAGAGAGAAGCGAAACGAGAAGTGACGACGACGAAGAAGAACACGAACGGACCGAAGCTGTAGATTCTGCTGGTGTGGATGTTGAATTGTGTCGGGGCCGAGGCTTCGCTGCGTCTATGTTGTTGTGTGGAGGTCAAGGGCTCGCACCTTCATTTTATACCGGTGGAATGGTCGCTGCGATGACTGCCGATAGATATTCTCCTGTGCTCGGTTGTAGAATTCTAATGGTGCATTTGCTACGTGGCTCACTTTCATACGTTTTCATTTTTTTTTTCTCATGAACTTTTTTCTCTTAACCCGTGCAATTGTTTTTAAACAATTCAAATTGAAATTGGAATAATTTGGTTTTGCAAGGATTTGTTCAAAGTAAACATATATTTATTCAGAGGTGCAAAAACTATGTACGATATCATCAAATACCATTAATAACTTGTAAGGTTTATATTCAATTATTTATTCATTATATATAACTAACTATCACTTATAAAACAAAAATGTGTGTATATATATACCTTTAAATGATATTTTATTATGCTTCGAAATTTTCATAACATCTTTTGTATTATTGAATGAAGATAAAATTACCAAAAAGAAATGTGAAAATCCAAATTCAAACTATAATGAATTTGATAGGAAACACTTTTGACATTGTTAAAATCTGCCTAACACCATTTCATCTTCATCAAGGAGAAAATGCATTCTCTTGAATAGCTTCAATGGAGAAAGTGTGTATTAGGGGGTAAGAGTTGTGATTTATACTTTGAAAATACATTCTCTTATACCTCAATTTTAAAATTCTTGTTATAATTCTCAATTTTTAAAATGTTTAATTTTAATATTCATACTTTGCAAAATAAACAAAACCATACAATTTTAGCTTTTTTAAATAAATTCTAATTAATCAAAACTATAGTGTTTTTAAAATTTTAAACAGTTTGATTATTTAAATACGGAAGAGAAAATAATGAAAAATAAAATATAGATTTAATTTTTGGATTTTTATTGCAATTTTTTCGTAAGTATATTATTTTAATATTTTTTAAGGAGTGTGTATGGGCCTGAGCCCAATTCACTTATATAATTGGCCCACAGTAAATGAAAAAATTATACAAAGAAAACCCTATGGGGAACACAGTTAAATGTGCAACCAAACGGGTTATAATCGACAGAGACTCTTCCTCTGCTCAAACTCTCTTTCCCCTTCCCTTTTCACTATAAGTCTGGCGCCGTCTTGTCAACCTACAGACCAAACCGTAGTTCTCGTCTTCGTCTTGTCTCTCTACCGCCGTGGTTCTGGCGGTAATTAGGAGGCGATTCTTGCTGGAGAAACTCCGACCAACGAATCGGAACGACTGCGAGCTCAATCTGTGAGTAAGAAAATTTGCTCTTCGATCCTTGTTGTGTTCTAGTTGTTGATGATGATTTTTTTTACCCGATGATTCGTGAAGTAGCGGGGATGACGAAATCTGGGTTTCTTTTCTCACGAGGTCCGTATTCGATGATAAATATGTACGAGAGCTTTAGTTTTAGCAATGGTTTCTAGGGTTCGTAGGTTGTTTTCGGCATGCATTAATGATTTTGAGATTTGGGGAATCGATTTTGTTTCACGCGCCTGGTTGTGTTAGATTTCTGAGTTATGCCTTGGGAAAACATTGGCTGAGATGAAAGCAATATAGATCTTGTGGATTATCTGGTTTCATGACGCTGTTATCTGTGTTTCCTTGCTTGGTGCTGTTGTTCATGCGGCATGGCATGATACTAACTAGTCCCTGGATTTAGGTAAATGATAATTTATTAAGTTCCTTTCCTTCAAGTTTCTTGAGATTGGAATGATGTATTCAGGATCTGAAGATGATGTGCTTAAGCTTTACTCAGTCCGAACTCTTGTAGCTGATCCTCTGATCTCGTACCCAATTCAATCTGAAGTTTGTATCTTGTGCCCTTTATGCATGTAGGCTCTTCAGTTTCTTAAAACCTTCTCTTAGTGGGCAACATTCGAATCTCAGATTATTTTATAAGTATTTTTGCACGTTTCATTCCCTTTTCGTTTTATGGATGTACTTTTGGGGTCATTACCTCAAAATCAGCCAGGACGTAGTTTTGGATTAATAACTTTTGCAGTCCACTTAAATCTGCTCCACAGAAAAAAAAATCCAATCCATTTATTCTTGGGTTATCTAATTTCTTTTTTCACCCTCTGAAACTGCATCATTCTGTGCGTTTGATATGATGTGTTGGTTGCATAACTCTTATGGAGTCGTATGTTTTGCTGATAGATAAGTTTTGGGTTTCCTTTTTCTATGAGTGCTGCAAGTTTAGCGTTTATAATCGGGTGCCCATCTTTGTAATTTTTATCTACTGGAGTACTTATTGTGCTGTAATCTTTGATGTTTAAAGCAGGAATTAATCCGGGTACTGGAGTACGGTGATTCGTAGCTTCAAAACATTTTTCCATCATGCAGAGGTTGGAACTCAGCTCTGCTGTTAAGCTTATTGCATACTCCAAGGAGCTTGTGGATGGACAGCCGCTCTATGCTTCTTCCAATTGTCTTCCTGTTAAGGCTTTAAAACTTGAACCTGCTGGTCATGCCTTCCATTCTGCCGCTCTCAAACTTCTTGGTTGTTTGGAGGAGGAAGCCACAGAAAATGAGGGTAATAATAAGAAGGTCACAAATGATAAAGACAGTGCTTATATCCCATCATATGATTCTTATAACAACGCTACCAAAGGGAAGAAGAAGTCTGGTAAGCAACAAGAAGATCACTATGCATTGTTGGGTTTGAGCCATTTGAGATATCTTGCAACAGAGGATCAGATTAGAAAAAGCTACCGTGAAGCTGCTCTGAGGCATCACCCTGACAAGCTCGCTTCTCTCCTTCTAGCCGAGGAGACAGAAGAAGCAAAACAAGCTAAGAAGGATGAGATTGAATCCCGCTTCAAGCTAATTCAAGAAGCTTACGAGGTGTTGATTGACCCTATAAGGAGAAGAATTTATGACTCTACTGATGAATTTGACGACGAAATCCCTATGGACTGTGCCCCACAAGACTTCTTCAAGGTGTTTGGTCCGGCTTTTAAAAGGAATGCAAGGTGGTCAGTTAACCAGCCTATACCAGATTTGGGCGATGACACTGCGTCAATGAAGGACGCTGATAACTTCTACAATTTTTGGTATGGCTTCAAGAGTTGGAGGGAATTTCCTCATGCAGACGAGTATGATATTGAACAAGCGGAATCCCGTGATGATCGGAGGTGGATGGAGAGGCAGAACGCGAAGCTCACTGAGAAGGCAAGAAAGGAGGAATATGCACGTATCCGTACTCTCGTTGACAATGCGTATAAGAGAGACCCGAGAATAGTGAGAAGAAAGGAGGAAGAGAGAGCGGAAAAGCAGAGGAAGAAGGAAGCAAAGCTTCTGGCCAAGAAGCTGCAAGAGGAAGAAGCTGCCAGGGCTGCTGAAGAGGAGAAACGACGAAAAGAGGAAGAAGAAAAGCGGGCGGCAGAAGCTGCTCAACAGCAAAAACGGGCAAAGGAGAAAGAGAAGAAGCTCTTGCGTAAGGAACGTACCCGACTTAGAACTCTCTCGGCCCCCCTTGTGACCCAGCATTTACTCGACATCTCTGAGGAAGATGTGGAGAATCTATGCATGACACTTAACACCGAGCGGCTAAGGGATCTATGCGATAAGATGGACAAGAAGGAAGGATTGGATTTAGCAAAAGTGCTGAGAGATGTGTGCTGCGGTAAAAACAACGATGAAACGGGATCGAAGAAACAAGATAACGGGAAAACCTTGCAGCAGAACGGTCATGCAGAGGTTAATGGTAAAGGAAGCTCGCCGAAGAAAGAGAAACCTTGGAGCAAAGAAGAGGTGGACTTGTTGAGAAAGGGAATGGTGAAATATCCTAAGGGAACATCTCGAAGGTGGGAGGTCATATCAGAATACATCGGTACAGGAAGATCAGTTGAGGAGATCCTAAAGGCAACCAAAACCGTGCTTCTCCAAAAACCCGATTCTGCTAAAGCATTCGATTCTTTCCTGGAGAAGAGGAAACCCGCAGCAACAATCGCATCCCCCCTCTCCACCCGCGAGGAGCTCGGAGAATCTAAACCAACCTCAACCAGTGAAGACACAACCCAAGAAGAGTCATCAGATAACAACTCGAACACTCAGAGCTCAGACAACAACACTGAAGCAGCAGCCGTGGTGGGTTCGGACCCAGATGGATGGTCGGCAGTGCAAGAACGAGCTCTGGTTCAAGCTCTGAAGACGTTCCCGAAAGAGACGAGCCAGAGGTGGGAGAGAGTTGCGGCCGCTGTTCCAGGGAAGACAGTGAATCAATGCAAGAAGAAGTTCGCAGAGCTGAAGGAGATCATAAGGAACAAGAAAACTGCAACTTAAGTGTTTAAGTATACAACATTCTTTGCGGCTCATCAAATTTTTGCTCAAAGAGAGAAAGGTTAAGAGTACGTTCCTCATTACAGGCATTGTCACTTTATGACAAGAACTGATTATTTTGATTTTTTTTTTTTGGGTGCTATTCTACTATACTTTGGTGTCGCTATGTAGAGTGCTTGGACACACAACAGTCTATTCTTATGGATATTTTTTTTTTCTTTTCTCGAATTTATTTTGCGCGTATTCTTTATGGCCTTCTCCATTCAGGTAAAACCGGTCTGAACCAAATTTAGCATTGTACTTTTTTACTGTCGGTTTGTGAGTAACCGGTAACGTTCACCAAAAAACAAAAAGGTGAGGGAGGGATGGGTAAAAATAGTGGGTATTCGGACAACAACGATGACAAGGTCGAATCGTTGAGTTGAGATGTATTTGGATTTTAATATTCAAAAAAAGACATTCTAGAATATCCATGTGTATTATATATAATTATATATATTTTGAAATTATCTATATTTTGTATTTATATCAACAATTTTGTCATTATACTTGAATACAATTTTAGGATGAAATTATATTTGGTAATAAATTGAAAGATTTCGTAATTAAGAAAACATTAAAAACTAAGATTTAATGTTTACGTATGCGCGCCTTCTCTGCCTCTCTTGGCCTCAGTTATGTCATGTCTCGTCTCGCTTCACCTCGGCCTCACTGCGCTCTGGATTTGAGGTACGTCTCTCTCCTTTGCCTTCCTCTTTACCATCTCTACTCTATCTCACCTCTTAGTAATCAATTTTCACCATCCATCGTATATATTATCCACCGATATCCGAATATTTAGAATATCTACGGTGTACTCGGATATCCACCGTCAATGACGGCACGAATTCGAGTCGAAAATTCGAGATACTCGGATTCGGGATCGGATATCTAAAATCTTAGATATTCGACCTGTGCGAACTTCTATTAGAGACATCATAAAGAAAGACTAATTTACCCTAAATTCCCCGGTACCGGATCCATACAAACACAATTTTAGGAAAGACATTTGATTTTTGTAGATGAACTCATGGAATAGTAACCAAATCCAAATTTAACCAAATAACTAAACCCCCAAGTATCCAAAACTAATCATACCATATAACTCAAAACGGAATCCAAACCAAACCAAACCGGTCAACCAAAGCAGAAGCCAAAACAAACCAAACCGAATCCAATTCGCCCACAGCTTCAAAAAAAAACATCTAGCCCGTTCAATGGATTGAATGGACACTGAAATCCTTATAGCCCTTTCGATGGAGATCATCAATCGAATGAGCTAATACATGTATGAAATTAGGTCATTCTGAGATGAAATGGGGGCATATATGGTTATATTGAATTACACGGCAAGAAAAAAGAAAACGTCGGTCCGATTTGAAGGCCCAAGAACAAAACTCTAACAAGACGGGCACAATACTGAACTCTGAGAACGAACCAAACCACAATCGAATGGCCGAAGGACTGGTCAGGGTAATTCGGTCATTTGACAAACCGGAGGCATGTTGCTCCACGGGCAAAACCCGACAGCTTGGGCTTGACCCGATGACGATGATGATGAAGATGACGAAGTCCCAACGGCTATGTGCATATACTCGTTCCCAAACTCATTGCCGAGGAGAGCCACGAGGGCATCGGACATAGTTGTCTCTTTCGCAAGTCCGAGACCGAGACCGTGGTCCAGCCAGCTTGAAGCGAGTAAAACGTCGGGGCGAGTTATGTCCAAGAGCGGAGTTTTTTCGTTGGTTTCTCTCTCGGGCATCCAAATCCGATCCCATTGTTCCATCTTTACGTTGTCCCCTGCCAAGTTACCGTTTCAGGTGAATTCTTGATCCAATATCATAAAAATCCGCATCCATCAATATGATCATCCTTACAGATGTATGAATCTTGTAGAAGAGAAACGAGGAAAACAAAATAATAATGTGATGCAAGAGTATGAATTCTCAAGACTGCCAAACAGATTCCAATTTCCAAGAACCACGTAGAAACGTAAATACCCAAAGCAGGAGATAAAGTAGAATTCACTTACAGGCAAAGCTATTGGTAGGTGATGGTGACTCACCTGATGAACTTCCACCAGCATCGAGTTGCATGGACATCGGAATCTTGGAATTAGCCAGGGGCTCGAGGGTAGTACCCTCGAATTCCTTATATTTGGTTTCTGGATCATTGTGGGTAATGCCCTCTGCCGCGATATCGGGAGAAGTGATCGAACTGAAACTCTTTTCAGATGAAAAAGAACCATTCTTGGCACCAGTTCTGATCTTGGCCTCGTGAAGAACAGTATCTAGCAGGCCAGTATTGCAGGAATCATAACAATCAGTCTCTGTTCTTCCCATCGGAGGTGGCGACTGAATATAAGCATCAACAGATTCGAGGAGATCTGAATGCAGAGTTGACGGTGCATTCCACTGATCAAAATTAGTTTCTGGATATTGGAATGAAGGGAGCTCCGACTTCACTGTCCCCAATGAGGGCTTAGAAGAAGTAGGAAATATGGCATCCATAAGGGTATGGCTACCATTAATCACATCGGGGTAGTGTTGATTTCCATCGGGAGGATCAGCATCACGAGGAAACGAGAAACCGAGAGACTTGGAAATCTTTTGTTGAGCACTACTCTGGAATTCTTCAGGCGACAGAAACTCATCCTTTATGTTACTGCAGTACCCAGAAAACAGAGATCTCGATTCTCGCTTTGGTGACTGCATTAACGGTGGAATGAAGCTTTTATATTGAGAAGAACTTGCACCATTTCCAAGTATATTGCACGAAGGGATATCTGATATGTCCAAAGCACTAGGTACCATCCCGGTGACAACCTTAAGACTGTCAAATAAGACATTAGGCTCACAGTTCCCGACCTGTAAGAAATCTTGATGTCTTTTAGCTGGTCCTATAATCTCTGTCTTTGTGTACTCTTGATTCCACTGCAATGCTTCAACATGCATTTCAGGAGGATAAAGCGGCAATCCAGCTCGTTGTCGCCTCTTGATACGAGTGTTCCAATAGTTCTTTATCTCATTATCTGTTCGACCAGGCAACTGGAAAACAGATGATATCAGAAATCACCCTAGAGGCTCATAACAAGCATCCTATATATATTACTTTTGGCAAAACTTTAATCATAGAACTGCCAACCGAGTGACAGGGCTTCATGAACAGATACTTACATGTGCAGCCATACGTGCCCATTTATTTCCCATCCTGGCATGCAGTTCAATGATGAGCTGTTCTTCTTCTTCGCTAAAAGCTCCTTTCTTCAAGTTTGGCCTCAGATGGTTAGCCCACCTTAGGCGGCAGCTTTTCCCACAGCGGGACAGGCCTGTGTATTTCTGCACAGCATTCCAGTTACCTTCACCATGCTTCTTGACGTAATCAATTAGAATCGCATCTTCTGCTGTGGTCCATGGCCCTTTCTTCAGAACAGTTCCATCCCATCTACTTCTGCAGCCGCTGCCAATATCAGCACCTGATGCCTCATTATGATGGTTAGAGTACATACCATCGTCACTCTCATCCGTTGTGTGACTCATCTCTCTTTAGTTAAACCAAAACAACAACAGCCAGCATTTTGACAACCATTTAGACGACAAGCTCCCACCTAAACAGGGAACAAAAAGAGAAAACAAAGTCAAGAAAATTAACAGTAGACACTGCAAACTCGTTCATATCACAGCCAAACACCAGTTAACACTATGAAGAGCATCGTGTCTTTATCACACAAAGACTGAAATAATGAACTAGGAGAGGAGAAAAATGAAAAAAAAAACCTTGCAAACACAAGTTCATAATCTAGTGATGGCCATATAACTTGTGAATAAAACAAGACAACATCCAAGGAATTACAGACCGAATAACCCAACATGTCAAGGAACTCTTTGAAGAACCAGCTAATACACATTTCCATCTGGAAGAGAATTTCTTTACGGAAATCAAAATCCGGCAAAGAAAGAGAATCATCAGGAGTAGTTCTCGAATATGAGAACCATCTTTCAATCAAGAAATCAGCGATTCACAAGAATCTCCTGGTCCTATTTCCTAACGTAGCTTTTGGATTCTCAGTTAACCAAGCATTAAAAGCATCTTAAGTCGTTCTTGTGTATATGAGAAATCCATCTCACAATAAAGAACTCAGCAAGTTATTACAATTTCCTCATATTTCCTAAAATAGCTTTTGAGTTTCACAGCTAATGATGAATCGTAATTGCTTAGGCTATTTCCGATCAACAGGATACTACCACAGAAATTCTAACCCCGCGAACAAATCTGGCACCCGCAAAGCTACGATCAGATACCCTAATCGGATAATTTTGAGACTTCAAATTCCTATCTCCAACACGAACCTTAAGTTCAAATCTGACCAGAATCACTGATGAAATAGTAAACATCTGCAATCACAAAGATTCAAAAGAGTTGAACAGCATCGGAGAGGTACCTGAACTCCTAGCCGATGTAAATGCAAAAGAGAAGCGGTCAAAAGCTGGAAATAGGCACCTGAAGAGAATCGACAAAGACAAACTTAAGAGGATTAATCGATCGCAAAACAAGATCTACGATTGTATCGTTGAAACTAAATCCGGGTAAGTCAGAGTTCAAATTCAACTGAAGAGATGGAAACGAGCGAAGAAAATCCCCCGATTAAGCATTGGAATAACACAAACCATAGATTTCGAAACAATAATTTAGCTCGAAATCTCAAGCCCGACACGGATCCTGAAGACACTGGAAATAGAACATGGACATCAGAGATCCACGCCAATGGATTCGAAACCTAGCAAACGCAAGGACATTCCGCAACAACATCTCGAAGAAGGAGATTGAGCGGAGAATCTCCGATCTTCTCTCAGAGAATCTGCATGTAAGAGAAAGAGACGAGAACGGAGAGAGAGAGAGAGAGAGAGAGAGAGAGAGGGAGAGAGGAAAGTACCAAGCTTTGAACCGAGCTTGGGTTGCTGAACATAGAGTGGAGATGAAGGAAATTTTAAGAAATGCTTTTCCCAAGTGTCTATTTTTATACTTCTCTTTTCACTTCGAACACATTTTTTATTTAAAAAAAAAGTCTATTTTACAAAAATCATATATGGATTATACTTTTTATCTGTTTATTTTTTTATTTGAATATATCTCTATTTAGACATATTATTATTAACATATTTTTTGGGATTTATTTTGGTTCCTTTTTATACAAGGAAGCGAAATAATCACTAAAAAACAAAAAAAAATTCATATTCATTTAAACAATTAATGCTTTCTTCCACATCTATGCCATTAATGATGTGTACGAATTTTTAACCAATGAACTTTTGTTTAAGACAACAAAATAATGAGTTTGATTTGATGTGTTTTTTTATTTTCAAATGCTTGAAACGGCTTTTGGTAGGGTTATAAACCGCATTTAATGTTCAAAAGAATCAATAAAGAAAATGTCATTAGCATTTATTGATCTAATGGTTCTTAGCAAGTCAACCCATTAGATAATAAATAGCATTTATGCTTCATTTATCAATTTAATTTGCCATTAAAATAAGTTTGGAATGAAAGCTTTTTTCTTCTTTGCCAACAAAAGAGAAACACACACACACACACATATATATATATATATATATATATATGTGTGTGTGTGTGTGGATTATTGATTTGAAATCCTTTTCCATAGAATAAAAAGTGGAGAAATATAGTTGTATCATATTGAATGTTTATCCCGGTTGAATATATAAAAAAAATGTTATTGAAAGATTAATAACAACATGACAATAAAGTATCTTAATTTGGTTATATTGAAAACACATTTATAAAATCAATATTAACTTGTTAATTTAAATAACTAAAGCTATTTTTAATGAAGTTGTGGCATGTTATCCCAATATTATTAATTTTTGGTCAATCTATATATATGCACATACATATATATATATATATAAGAAGTGCATAATTTAATTATAACATTGTGATCCAAAAAGTCAAACTATATATATATATATATAACGGAAAATATGAAAGACTAGTAGTAGACGTAAGGACTATAAAGATTACATGTGTAGTCCTCGACTCCTCGAACAACTTGGCTGGCTGCTTAGCTCCAATAATATTAATGATAATAATAATAATGATAATAATAATAATAATAATAATAATAATAATAATAATAATAATAATAATAATAATAATAATGAGATTCACCTAAACTTGGGTGATATAGCGGTGAGAGAACATGCAAATCATACTCTCACTTTGGATTCAAACCCAAATATGGGAAGAGGCATTCACCTGGGTTTTCTTGAAGGAAAATATAATCGGGCCAAAGGCCCGGTGAATTTCCGGATTATCAAAAGATAATAATAATAATGATCTTCTCTTTTTCTTTTTCTCTTGTCACCATAACAATAACCGAATCGATGTATAAAATCGAGAAAAAAGACATTGGTGGTATTCTTTTTGGTACGTCAAAATTCACAAGCATACAATTTTATTTTTAGTTTTATATAAAACAGAGTTCATGCGTATTAAATACAAAGATAGAGAAGAACAAATAAATTTTTTTTTTTGGTGAATGCAAGAGCGTGGAATCCATGACCTTATTGCATTATTATTATTATTATTATTATTATTATTGTCGTTAAAGGCTTTGTGGGGTGAATGTTTTTGCTTGCGCGACAGAAACTCATCTCCCTCGAGATGTGATCTCTGTCCAATGGATGACACTATTTGCCGCATCACGACAAATCCTCACGCAAGCTTTGACAACACACAAATAAACATATGGAATCATACGATGGAAATGCAAAGGATTTTGGACTCTCTCTCTCTCTCTCTCTCTCTCTCTCTCTCTCTCTCTCCCGAGGAGAGCCACGAGGGCATCG